AAGAAATGATTTGATGAAGGCCTATGTCAACAGAACATGCCCTTTGAACTGTTCTCCTGCGAGTCCGGTTGGGGAATTTTCGCTGACCCATTCCCACTGTACTATGAACAAAGGTATGCTCCTAACAGACAAAGATGAAAATACATAGAAGACAACTGGGTTGAGCCTATGGAATGTCAAAGGCAGTTGGAGAACTGAGGTAAGTGGTTAGCATCGGCTAGGTTATGCTGTGTTAACAAACACCTTAAACTCTTACATTGTTCTCATTTAAAACTGACATCCAACATGGATAAGCCAAGGGTTTTGCTCATTTACAGTCAGAACCCAGTGATTACAGCAGGTAGAAAAGTAATTGGCAAACCGCACACTTGCTTTCCAAGTTTCTGCCAGTTGGTCACACCAAAGGAAGCAGCGATGTGCCAACATTCCATGTTCAGAAGGAGAGAAAATCCTGAATGTCCATCAGGAACCCCAATGACTACCATGGATTGAACTGGCCCCTGTGGAGGATTCAGCCTAGGCTTTCAGCCTCCCTAACAACATGTTTTATCTCCAACTATAGCTATGCTTCTTGAAGACCTATTATGTGTCACGTAATTTTTTTTTAGGCACTTTCCACAGTCACACACTCAATTTCTACAGTCAGCCTAAGGCAATTGGTGAGTGACAGGATTGCAAGCCATGGTGTTTAACCACAAAGCCTTCGTTCCTTCTAATTCCCTGCCCATTTTCCCAATTTTGCAGCAAGTTACCAGGCCCAGTTTCATGTGGCACTTCCTATCAGACACGACTGGTGGTGTGCCCATCCCTGGAGCCCTTACTGTGCACCTCCAGTGTCCACCTCACTGGGGTGGGGGTGAGGGTCACAGAGCCACCATTTCTTTAGAGCTCTCCTGCCTTTCACTTTCATCATCCTGGCCAAAGCCAGGGAAGCAACAAGCCAGCTCCTACCTTTTTCTCCTCAACAATCCCCCCATCGAGTACATTTATCAGAGTGATGCTAAATAAGATGCAAGTGCAAATAATTTGATTTTTAAAACGTAAGCTTCCTGTTGCCATAGATCAATTAAACCCTCTCCATTTTATTGCCGGATTGACACAGGTGTATTTATCACTGTTTGCCATGGGAGCCCTGCTCTGCCGCTGTGTTCAAGCAGCTCAGCAAGCAACCGACTCCAGTCACTAGGGACTCAGGGCCCTTGGGGGTGTGGGGTGTGGGATGGGCACCACGGAGAACTCTGTCCCTTCCCAATCTGGGGAAAAAGGAAACTTGAAGCTGGAGTAGCTCATTAACAAGCTCTTTGCCTTGAGCAGATCAAGCAACCAGCACTGCCCAAAGCATAGGAACTTTGTTGATCACAGTAAAAATAAAATACGAAAACCTCAAAAACAAGTTCAAGGAAGAGTTTGGGACAATGGGTTCTCAAATATTCTTAGTAGCAGAAATCGGTAGGTAGAACCTCTCGAGGGCAATCGGACATCTTTATCAGGCCCTTCTGACAATTCTGTCTCTAGGAATTTGTCCCAAGAAACTAATCAGAGTCCTATTCATGAGCATTACAAGAATATTTATAATGTATTTTTAACAGTAAAAATCTGGAAACAATCTAAATGTCTAACACTAAGAAATAAGAAACCATTAAAAACTGTAATGTAGTATTTACTGATAGGAAAATGCTTCCAACACAATGTGAGCAACAGCACATTTTTAAATATTTGGCATTATAAGAAGTTGGAAGACAATAAAGTGTCAGCAGTGGTGATTTCTAGTGGTAAGATTATCAGTGACTTGAAGAAAGACCGTTTCCTTATACTTTGCATTTAACATTTCTATGTTGATCATGTTTCTATTAAAAAAAAGTCTTCAAAAAATAAGATCTCAGTACGATTTCATGCAGATGCAGACATTGGACTCGTGATCATTAATGCATTAAAATTCAAGGAGCAACATTCCTCCTCCTAGGCATTACCTGATGAGCTCCCTAAAGCCTCTATCCCCCATTCCAGTGTGGATGGCAATCATCTGTCCATGGGAATCATGTCCAGGAGGGATATGTACGCTAAAAGGGCAGAGGAGAGAATGTGTATCTTTTAAGGCAGCCAGAAGTTTCATTCGGACATGTTTCCCTGCTTCGATTTTCACCTTGCAACCTGACAGGGCACACACCAGCTCCAGAGACTTTCATTTCCCCAGTACAGAGTCCCAAAAACAGCTCGAATTTCCGCAACCTTCTGCATAGACAGGTAACCAATTTACTATCGGCAGATCCAAAAGAAGCAGAAGATTCACAAGGTAACATTCACATTCACAAGGAGAACATTCACAAGGTAATAGGATAAAATTTTCTATGTACAGGGACTTAAAACCAAAGTTTAGAGCTTATAAATCCCTAAACATCCTTCCCTCCAGCATGAACAGTGGCCATAGAAGAATCAGCAGAACCATTACTTTTATCAATAAAATTAACAATGTTGATGGTGTATGGTTATGAATTTATGGTAAGACAACAGAGAAGGATGTTCCTCATGTGAGTGGTTAACTGAAGACTGGTGCCCCCCTTTTAACTACTACATTGGCAAGAAGGAATACAATACGGCCACTTAAGACATTCATATTGGAGTATAAGCACAAAATAGCTCTGGAACTACCCAATGTTGAGTAACAGCAGGGCAGAGGAGAACTGGGAGGCTAAAAATAATCTACATGTAAAGAAGAAGGTTTTCCTCCTCTTTGCACGTTTGTTCCTCCCTTTTTTTTTTTTTTAAAGATTTTATTTATTTATTTGACAGACAGAGATCACAAGTAGGCAGAGAGGCAGGCAGAGAGAGAGTGGAGGAAGCAGGCTCACCACTGAGCAGAGAGCCCGATGCGGGGCTCGATCCCAGGACCCCAAGATCATGACCCGAGCCGAAGGCAGAGGATTTAACCACTGAGCCACCCAGGCGCCCCACGTTTGTTCCTCCTAAAGTCTACGCCATGTGAGCACCCCTCCATTGCTCATCCCTGCCCCCATCCAGCTATAACCCAGTGTGGAGATCACACACCGAAAGGAACAGGCCCCTGACCAGATGGGACAGCACCTCAAACTCAACACTACAGAAATGTTCTCCTCTCAACAAAGGAGAATTAAATTCACAACTCCCCTCACTCCAGATCTGTTTTCCTAACCTTCCTCTCACTCAATTGCCCTGCTTCTAGAACCTGTCCTTTCTCATGATAAATCCTTATACATCAAGCCCCTTCTCACCACTGACTCTGCTCATTTCTCTCCCTCTCACCACTGACTCTGCTCATTTCTTTCTCTCCCTCCCTTCTCCTTCTTCTTCTTCTTCTTCTTCTTCTTCTTCTTCTTCTTCTCTCTCTCTCTCTCTCGTGTGCGCTCTCTCTCTCACATACACACACCCCTCCCAAGGTCCAGCCCCTTCTCTGCTAAAGGGAAGCAGGGCCTCCGAGTTTGACAAAGACAGTTCTGTTTCTTCAGACCTGACAACTCAGTCCCATGACCTGTCCCTGCTGACACACTCCCTCATGGGGCCCAGCCTCCTCCAACCCACATCCGGGCTCCCACCAGCAAGGCAGCCACAGCCTGAGCCACAATGCCCCAAGCTTCTGGAAGCCAGTCACACAGAAAGAGTGCCTTCCGATGACCAAGCAAAGAAACCCTCTCCATGAGTCTGCACTGGGGAACTTCTTAAGGGACACACCTGTCCCAGGCACTATCCAGTCCAGGCTGTGTACTTTTGTCTTATCCTATCCTTTTGTCCTATCCTCGGACCGACGACCCTCCTTAACTTCCTTAGAGTCAGCATTTCTTTGTTTGGCATCCTCTCACACTACACATCAGTTTGACTTTTCAGTTTCCCTATCTCCCCAGAAGGATACCAACCTCTGAACCCACACACTCAGTGCCCACTCTCTTTCTACATAACCCTCTGGACACCCCTTCCCTAAAGACCATGCATCTCCGTAAGGACCAGCCCAAAAAGCTCTGTCAGTTTAAAGTCCCCTCTACCTGCTGGTGACTTCACGCCCTGCATTTTGTCCATTTTCTCTCAAACTGTTATTTCCCAAGTGTCCTAACTCAGAGGCTGGGAAAGAAAAGACCAAGGCATGGAAACACAAAAATGCCTGAGCCCTGGAATGGGATTCCATCTCGTCTCTCCTTCTACCCCAAGACAGTTTGTTCCTTTTGGAGGACAGCACAGTTCTCAAGGGAGCACTTAGAAGAAAAGCCCTACATGGAATCAGCTTATTAGGAAAACCACCACCCTGACCCCTGCTCATGTATCCCACTGTTATCTGCTTTCCAAGTACCTCCTACTTCCCTCTTCCAAGCCCCCAAACCAGTCACAATGGATAACTTCAATGAAGAAATGAAATCACTGTATATTTTCCAATGGAATAATACAGATCACACTTAACTTCTGCCAAGATTGGAACAGTTGTTAGAGTTCGCCTCCCTCCTGCCCCATGTCAACAGTGTCTGAATGGCTTCAAAATACCATCTGGGAAAAATCATCACAAAATATTTAAGGCTCCAATTCATTAAAAAAAAAAAAAAAATGAAAGGAAGAACACACACACATACATGCACCTTACCTGTGATTCAGCAAATCTCTGGGAGATGGGGTTATCCTGAAAAGCATTCCTAAACGCCCCCAAATGCCCCTGTTGGCTCCATCTCATTCCTTCCCCAAAAGTGTTCTAACTTGTCTGCATGGTCATCAGTGACAAAGGTAAAGAACAAAGTAACACTATGATGGTCCCCCTTGTAGGACCTTGGAGGAGACGGAGGATGTCCACACTCGCAGCTTTTTCAGTGGCACAAAGAGGCTAGCCAAAGATTCATCTGAAGCAAAGGCCCACTTTTGGGGTGTGATTTCACATGTCTCAGAGCCCCCACACCCGACGCAGAACTGGATGGTGATTTGCACCCACGGGCCATGACCAGGGGACTGGGCCTCCCTGGCCTGGTCTGCATCTTGTGAAGGGTACATACCTCAGAAGGTTAAAGCTCAGATCAAGCCTCTTTGCGAAATGTCCACAGTCCCTTCCAAGGTGCTCTGGAATTTCTCTGCAGTCCTGGCCTATGAAGGACACCTGGAAATTAAATGAAACAGAAACAATGTGGCAATCAGAAATCACCCAGCTGCTCCCAACCCGGAATCATTGATCTGAAGATTGCTTCCGCGACTTTGAACCAATGCGCTCCTCACACACACACAAAAGCCCCATTTGGGGCTGTTTTCCTGATCAAATCAGCTTTGGGGGCTTCAGGGACTCTGCCAAGAGTTCCCCTTTCCTGGTACCCTTAGCATGATGGAGACTAATCCCAGCACAATGGAAATTGGACTAAAATTGGCCAGATTCAGGTGTCCAGAAAAGGCCCCATGTCAGAGCACGCTGATATAAACACAGCAATCAGCCTCTTGCTCAGGGGCCTTTCCAACAGCTGCCCCTCTGGCTTTCCTCCTCCCTCTCCTCCTCTGTCCCCCTCCCCCCCCCCCCCCAATACCCTGTTATGCATATTACCTCATAAAAGACACAGCAGATGCACTTACCAGCATTCAACCTGCAGGGTGCTGGAACAAATAGGGTTGGACAAGAAAACCTCCCCAGACCGCCAATCCCATCCTATTACTACTCCATATAAAACATCCCCCGCACTCTGTACAAAGCTGATTTGAAGGCAGCAGGGAAACGAAGGGTGGCCACAGCTTCCTAGAAGAGTCTCTAGGGAGCCTTTTGCAACCAACGCCACTCGAGTTGCAGAGCTGTTCCCTTAGGCCTTTCTTTACTTATTTTATCATCATTATTAACCTAGTGTATGTCCAAATATTAAGAAGCTGAATTGAAATTTGATGCCAGAATTTGATTGTAGGAAGGTCAGAGGGCTTTCTCACATCTCCAACCACTCAATCTTTGAAAAACGTTTTTTACAGATAGTTGCCAATTCAACCACAGGGCACTAATTCCAAATCCATAAAACAAACCCGTGGGTGACAGTTGGCCAGTGGATCAAAATATAGGATACTTCCCTAAAGGACTCCCTACCCCCAGCCGCCAGGTAGAAATTTGGGCCTCTTACATGACTACAGTCTTGATCCTTCCTCCCCTACCCCCCAAATGCATCTCCTCCTACACATACAGGTAAGAATGTCTTGGAATAAGTAAAAGATTCCCCCAGGGGTTATGCTTCCCAATGGGGAACAAGAATATGGTGGCCATATAGAACTCAAGATGTTAGGTTGAAATTATGATTACTAATATTCAATCCTAAAACTACAGAAATAGCACTTCCATAGGACTCAGCCTTATTAAAAAAAAAAAAAAAAAACAAAAACACACACACTGTACCTTCCTACACTCAATTTCAAGTCTGCTCCCAGCCCCGTTCTATCCAATGGGCACAGTACAGTATCCTGTACTCATGCCCTCAGTAACTTCATTTCTCGAGGAGAGAAAGTTTGGGAGAAAGGACAGAAAAATAGATTCCAATAAAATAAGTTGGACTCCAGAAGACACAGACTAAAAAATAAAGGTCTCCAAGTTCAATCTAGCCACCTCCATTTTCTACATGGGACCTGTCCTTCCTCAGAACTCCTTGGGTAATAAACTTCTGCTTCCAAACACAGATGGAAATCATACAACAAGAAGAGACTGGGGATATAAGGCCCCAATCAATCTAGGGACTTTAATTCCCCTACGGAGGCCCACTCGATCAGCAGCCATTTCTGTAGTAGAATATCACAGTGACCCTGCAGGCCCATGGAAATCACCAGAAAACCCATCCCTTTCACCACATCATGCACCCAATCTCATAGGGATCATTATTCAAGATCTCCGTGGTATATACAGCATAGAGGCTGAGGTTTAGATGTAGAAACTGAGCTCTGTCCTTATAGACTCACCAAGGACTCCATCGCGTAGGGACTCCGTTTCTTGAAACCCCTCATGTTTTTACAAAGAAACTAAGACTTCGGCGGCATGCCCACTGTAAGAGAGCTTCGTAATGATAAAGTCCTGCACCAGAACTAGGAACTTCCAACTTGGGCACCATGGAGTTCTTACGAATCCACACATGGATGTGGATTTTCTTTTCTTTTCTTTTCTTTTTTAAGATTTTATTTATTTATTTGACAGAGAGAGATCACAAGTAGGCAGAGAGGCAGGTAGAGAGAGAGAGGAGGAGGCAGGCTCCCCGCTAAGCAGAGACCCCTGGGATCATGACCTGAGCTGAAGGCAGAGGCTTTAACCCACTGAGCCACCCAGGCGCCCCAAGATGTGGATTTTCTTGATCAATAAACACCAGTGGCACATCTATCATCACATTTTGGCTTCAAAAATGCATCTTCCTGGCTAAAAGGTTGTGACCTACCTCATGATATAGGATGTTGAGAGCCCTAGAGGAGCATTAGAACCTAGGTAGAGAGAGATTTGCTCCCCCTTTTCTTCTGTAGGATCCCCTTTCAGAGGCAAAAGGAACACCAAGGAAGCCATCACCATGAAGCCTACAGATCATTCACATGCCTAACGAGACGTATCAGCTTGTTTTATTACAATAGCTTAACACAACATCCCAGGAAAACTCAAGCACAACTCTTTTCCACAGTGGAGACCAAGTCTCTAAAATTTGGGATGAAAGCCAACCTGATAAGCCATCTGCATGCTTGGACACCCCACCGCACCAACCCCAGGCTAAACTGGGGCATTTAGAGATGCGAGTTAGGCTGGCCACGTTTAAGGGTCCAAATCAGCAGGACAAGGTTTAAGGCTTAAAAGCAGCTAGCAACCACTGCCAGGCACTGCAACCAACACTCACAATGAGAACAAAGTCCTATTTAACAAGTACTCCTGAGTGGAAGACATTACCTCTCAGGGTATCAGGAAGCTTCTTGGAGCAGAGGCCCACCTACTGTAACAAGGCCCAAAGAGCCAGACCAAAATTAGTTGGCTACTTGAGCAAATAAGGGAAATCGAGATTAAGAGACCCTAAATGCCACAGAAGCAAGAGCACATCCAGAACAAGAGCCATTGCCTTTAGTGAGTTACTTTTAGACTGAAGAACCGAGTTTTGTACTTCTCATTTGCCTACCTTAGGTCTCCGGTATCACAAGACTTCTGCCTTGTGTGGAATGGTAACAGAAAGGGACACCATTACTGGGGAAATGAAAACTGATGAAGATTCCCCTGCCCTGGCCCCACCCAGCCATAGAGGGATACCAGAGAGGAAAATAAGAAGGTCTGTGCAAAATCTCCACCCATACACATACCCAGCACCCCTGAGCAGAGGCCACAGGGAATTACTCAACTACAGGGACTACAGATTTCTGTTTGCAGTTGAGACAGTCTGGGCCTCTGGACATCTCTAAGCATGGTAGAAGTTTTAGTCGACTGTGTATGACGATGATTATTTTCTGATAATAATCAGCCCAGGAGTGGAAGATCCTGGATTTTAAATGTGTGGTAGTGAATGCTCTGTCAGAATAGAAACTGTTGCGGGCTGCTACTTCCTAGCTGTGTTATCCCAGATGGCTCACAATCTCACAGAGCTGGTCTCATCTTCTGTAAACTAGTCTAACACTAACCGCATCCCAAAGGTATGATGAGTAAGGGAACTAACATGTATTAAATGCCTACACCTGGCTGTTAGCTAGTCAATCCTCATGAAATAGCCCAGTGAGTCACAGATCCTCAACTAACTTAGAGCAATGACAAGAGTACATAGCACTGTCCTCAGCACCTACTGGTCACTCAGTAAATAGGTGAATCAGACCAATACCCTTAAAGGATTTGTTATTCCCATGTCTTGGGAACAAGATTTCAGGATCCGAATTCCACGTTTGCATTTAGATCTACAATTGTATCGATGCCACTACTTGGTCATAAACTGGTGGAAAAAGAAGATTAAGGACTTTATGCTGATATAAATGTTGCATTCAAGCCAAGAGAAGGCCAAATGAATTCAGATTCATGTTGAATAAAAATATTTTACAGAGAAGAGTGGAGAGAGGGCTGATAGAAGCCCGTGGAACTCCTAAAACCCAGGGCAACAGCAGTCAGCCCACAGTGGTGTTGAAAGCAATGACCTAATTTCAACAAAACATCATCCATCTTATTCAATTGTTTCAGTGGTGGTATGTTTGGTTTTATGTTTTGGTTTTGTTTTGTTTTTTTTTTTTTTTCTATGCCCTCAAACCATCTCTTTATTTGGGGGATAGGTTTCCATGAACTTAGAAAAAGTTCTATCTGGTAGTATGTTTGCATATTTAGGCAACATTGCAATAAGAACAGTATCAATACTAAGGGCTCATGGGAAGGCTTTTTTTTTTTAAGAAGGCTCAACCAAAATTTAAGAAGTACCATGTGACACACATTCCAGGAACTACTTCTTGTTATGGCTGTCCCTAGAAACTAAAAGGGGCAGAACGCTAAAAACAAAGCAAAAAAGCCCACACCTAAAACCCCGGCTGCCACTCAGACCCACTGGCCTAGGAGGTTCCGGACCTGGGAGACTAACACCCCAGCAGCATTTCCTCAGCCTGTCTTCTCAGCTCCTCCCCAGCAGCTCCATCTGCTTAGAACAGTCCCCTAATGCTCAAAATGCCTCACCCACAGGTTAATAATTGCCTTTGAGCCCTTTGGAGTAGGCTAAAAGCGGGGGGTGCAGGAAAATAATCAAGTTAGGGAAACAGGGGAAGAGAGAAGGAGGCACAGGCAAGTTCTTACCCCTCCCGTCAAGTGCTCCAAGTTATTAGAAGCTTCACCCAATGAATGCTGGGTCTAAAATGCAGAGACCTAGGGTCTGCGGGGAAGGGGACATTCTTGGGCCGAGGCCTTCTCCTCCAACTCCTCCTTCTAGGCGGACATGTTAACTCCCAAAAGCCCTTTTCCCTGCCATCTAAGCAAGACCCATCATTTTTAACCTTTCTCACAGGCTGGTACCTCCCTGGCCTTCTCACTTCCAAACTCTGAGAATGTGGAAACATTTGCCCAAAGTCATCTCAAAAAACTAACTGTGCCTGACACTATCTGCCTTAGGCAAGGCAAGAGGTGAGCTTCAGAACCTCAGAACTGTTTCTCCAGGGCATGCAAGGAAAGGCGGGAGGAGGGCTGGCTTAATCAGAGGTTAAAAAGAGAGACCTGGCTTTTCCAGAAGGTAAAAGGCCCCTGGGCCCAGCATCCCTCCAGCAATGACTGAGAGCACCTGAGGCTCCACTACAGGGCTGAAAGCAAGGGAGTCTAGGCGTCTGTCACCCTGAGTTGAAACTGGAATGTTGCCATTCCTCGGACACCAGTTCCAGAAGTCAGGTGTGGAATGAGTGCTTGCCATTTGTGGCAACATGGAGGGAACTGGAGGGTTATTGGGCTCCGTGAAAAAAGTTAGAGAAAGACAAATACCACATGACTTCACTTCCACGTGGAATCTAAAACAGGAACAAAACACAAAAACAGACTCAAATACAAGAGAACAAATTGGTGGTCGCCAGAGGGGGTGGGGGGAGGGTGGGAGGATAGGCAAATAGTGAAAGGGATTAAGAGGCACAAACCGTTATGAAAAGTCCCGGGGGGATGAGAAGTAGAGCATTAGGAATATAGTCGGTAACATTGTAATAGCGTTGCATGGTGACAGAGGCTAACTACCCTTGTGGTGAGCCACGTATAATGTACCGAATTGTCAAATTACTCTGTTGCATACCTGAAACTAATATAACATGGTATGTCAACCCTATAATAAACTAAAGAGAAATCAGATGCCAAAATAAAACTGGGGGACTTTAGCCTTCTAGCTGCCTTGAATAACCGGCCTAGGCTTGGGGTCCAGAGGCAGTCTGCTGTGAGGGCCCCAAACCTAGGGAGCCTGTCGGAATGCGCTAGGATTCTCATGGTCTTTAGCGGGAACTAGGCACTTTTGCCATCCTGGGCACCTTAAAAAATAAAGAAACCACACACACACACACACACACAGACACCCCTAATGTTTATACTTTACAACTTCATTAGTACAAGGACGCATATATTAAAATGTTCTCTTTGACCCAAGTTCTTTTCTTCTGATTATTAAATGACACACTTTTGAAGAGCCCCCAAAAGTACCATCAGCTGTGGGCATGGTCCCCTCTGCCTGATGGAGAAATCAGCGCTGCCGGCCTTAGCAGGGAATACTAGGGACAGAGAAGGTGGAGGGGACCTTGTCGACCTAGGGGGCCTTGCCCTCTTCTCCCACAGCCGGGGGAGGGGGTGGTGCTCTCACCAAACTAGGGCGGGCCTGGGCTCCTGAAAGAGTCGCCAGCTGGAGACGCAGCAGCCCGCCTGCGGTGGGGCAAGGGGCCTTTCCAACCTCGGGGTGGCCCCTTGCCCCAGCACTCCCTCCCCACACCGACTGCCCCACGCGAGGGCGGGGTTCGTCCTGGCGGACTTACTTGAGTTCCACTGACCACGAGCCCAGCCATGACGACTGGGCGGACGCGCGGCGCGGAGCACCGGGTGCAGGCGCGGAGCGGCGAGAGCCAAGCACCGAGCGCAGCGCGGCGGCGGGCAGCACGGCCCAGCGCGCAGTTCCGCACTTAAATAGTCAGCTGACCCGGCGGAAGCCCGAGGCGCGGGCCGGGCGCTGGAACTCGGGCTCAGCTGAGCTCCCGGCCTCTTGCCCTCCGCAGGCCCTCGAGCCGGTGAACCTAGGCACGCCCCCCCACCCGCCGTCACGCGCTGCTGGAGGTAGCCCCCAGCGTCCCGCGCTCCCACGGAATGGCCTGACCCCTTGACTTCCCCCATGGCCCCCGGGGCACCCCAGGACCTCATCGCCCCCCTGAGGGCCCAGGGGACCAAGAATAGCATCCCCCCAAAACTCCAAGCCCAGAACTCTACTCCTTTAATCTAGTGGGGGGAGGCTAGGGAAGGAGGGCTTCGCATGAGGGGTGCCCCATCTGAGTCTTTAGTTAGCCGGGGACATGAAGAGCGGGCATTTCCCATTTCACAATCCGGATTACATAACTGTCCTCAACTGCCGGGAGGAGGGGTGTTGGCCCTACTCCCCTCCCCAACTTTGGGGGGAAGGGGGAAAATGGAGAGCTTGGAAAGACACCGGGTGGGGCGGAGTTTCCACTTGTAGTGGGAGGAAGAGCGAATTGAATTTCGTTATAACAAAATGCTGGCTCAGCTAAAAGCATCCCAGCTTACAGTAATAAACCCTAGAGAAGAAGAATCAATGATGTCCCCAAATTTCAGGTTTCTCTTATTCTTTCCCGTCTTATTTGTGAAGCCAAAGTCATCCATGCGGTCAAATTCCACCTCCATCCCCCCCCCCCCAGCACCACACCCCTTCCCCTCAGGTGGAAGAGAAAGGCGACCTTTACTGCCTCCTCCATCAGGCCTCCTCCATCAGGCTGGGAGGGCAGCTCATGCCTATCCTCAATTGAAAGGAACCAAATTTCCCCCTGAGAAGTTTTGCCTTCATGCCTCCATCCCCAGGTTGCAGGAAGCTATTACCACATACCACTTCATTGTCACATTATCACCAATCTTCTCTAGAAACTAAGAGCCAGCCTGGCCTTAACTGGCCTCTCTCCCCTGCTCCCTCCATACCAGTGAGTAAAGCTACCATTCAAACAGAGAAGGGATCCTGAGTGCCAGACTTCACATCCTACCCATTGCACTGCAACTGCTTCAACTCTGTAGAACTACTGATAATGGGAGTTCTCACCTCTGTTGAGGGGGTGTTCCCAGGGCTTTTGTTTTCATTGTTCTGTGTGTCCAAACAGCCCTTAGAAACCCCTGTTTGTGCAGCTGATGATAATTATGGTCGTGGTTAAGCATATTGTGGCTATCGTCATCGTCTCTCAGGCCTGGTGCCAACACATTGTAATACGGGCCCTCCTTGTCAGCGTTCTGATGAGTGGTGTTGACCTCTGAGGGCCGACCCGCCTGCCCCTCTCTCTGCTGGGAGGAGCGGACATAGCAGAGTGGAGCTGTAAGAACAGAGACTTGGCTGTGTTTACTCTGGGGGTGGGGGGCAGTCAGGAAATGCTGCAACAAAAGTTCCTACAGGCCAAAAGAGAAGGCTTGCCCTCCAGAGATAAGGGGGATCAAAGGGAATCTTCCAGGCCTACTGCCCCACAGACCAGCTCCTCATGCTCCTCTCTCCTTCTCTGTTGGATGCAGTCTCTCTGGTCCATTGTCCACTTTTGTCTGCCTTTCCTGCCCAAAAAGGAAGAAGCGTGCCCAGGTCCTCACAGTCATGACACACTGCCCTCTCCACCTTTCACCTTGGCCCTCCTAGAAGGCTTCTCTGACTGGCAGGAGAGGACATGGGGAAACAGGCTTAAAGCTACTCACAGATGAAATTGGAACCTACCCACTCTCACCCCAACAGGAGGGTGCTTGAGGTCATCTCACCCATGCCCCTGTGTCCATACACAGCTGTGTCTTCTGAGCATAGACTGTTCTGCACACACTATCTGCCAATGATGCTAAAGTAGGCAGGGATCTTTTCTACCTTACCAGGACTTCCTCACTATTTTTCCTTCCTCTACACGGCTCTAGGGTGATCATTCTAAAAGCCTGATGTGACCCTACCTAAAATCTTTCAATGCTCTTAATCAACTAATAACAGTCCAAAATATCCAATATGTCCCTCAAGATCTTTTAGAATCCCATCATTTCCTACCTCTCCCGCCTCCTTGCCCACTTTCCCCCTCCTCTGTCTGGTCTTAGCTGTTCTGCCTCCCCATCCACTCTTGTCTCCACTAGGTGAACACATCCAGGAGGCCAGCTGACAGCAAGGGACAGATAATTGGAGAAATCACAAACAATAAGGCTATAGTTCAGATGGACGTGGGCTTTAGTGTTAGAAATGGAAGCTGATGACAATATGGAGCTACTGAAAGTTCTTGAGCAGAGTAGAAATTTATTGAATTTAGTCAGGGAGGCTCCTCTAAAACCATACTGGGTTCACCTCTCCTTACTCCCTTCAGCTTTGGAAGTTATCTTCAGAAGAGAAGAACAAGGAGGAAGAAGAGAAAGAAAGGAGGGGAAAGGAGAAGGAGAAGAAGGATCTCTATCCCTGAACCAAGGACAATCGGAAGATGGGGATGGAGGACATCCTTCTACCTCCTCATCACTTTCTCGAGCAAAAAGGAAAATTACATCTACAATAGCAAAGTTCAAGTTCTTCCAGGCATATGGCCCTCCCTTTGGAAGGGAGAGAGCAAAGGAACAGCGGAGATGAGGCTGGCCCAGGAGGTGAACAAATGATTCCTTTGGAACCCAAGAAGTTGACAAGAGTGAACAGAGGGGACAGATCTTGAAGCTTCATCTTGAACACAGCTCTTTCTGCCTCAGCCCCAGAAGCATGGCTGGGTGGGCGGGGGGTGGGGGGGCGGGCGGCGGGGAAGAAGGCTCATGCAGTGATCCACGTGCTTCTTCAGTTCCCTCCTGCCATTCTAGTGGGCAGTTGAGACTGAGATTTGGAGACCCCTGTCTCACCCTATTTTACCCCACAGCTCTTCAGCCACAGCGTCCGAGGACCAGGCACCGTGCTAGGCACTCCGGGTATACATAACTAAGGCATACGCTTCCGGAAAGATTTGTGCTCAGACATTTGCAGTCCCATGTCAACAAGAAGCCCTGTGATTGTGATCCTATTTCCTGTGTCCAACATTGAAACGGGGAACCCCATTTGTACTGTACACTCATGAGGACTACAGAACAGAAAGTTCAAATCAGACCTGGGCAGCTAATCCCGAGCATATGAATTCTGGAGTTCTAACACTTACAAATGGGGAGTGAGAAGGTTCGACACTAACCACTAGAAATTTCCTTATCACCCTTGATGAAGAGGCCAATATTTTATTCCTACTGTCATCTTTGTTATTATTATTCTTTGGCAGAAAAGGCCCTTTCCCCTAGAGTTCTTCCTCCTTCACATTCCTGCGGACTAAAAGGAAAATCCTGTTTATTTGCAATCAAGGGAGTTGATTCTGGGGTCGACCAGAACCAGTGAAACAGGAACTGATTGCTTAAAACCCTCCAACTTTGTGCATGATCAGCTGAGAGGACAGAGCCAGTTAACAAAGTTTTATTAGCATTCCTACCTATCCTTAGTCAAATTTCTATTCAGCCTGGCCTCATTTCTTTCAGGCCCAACCCCTGGGCAGGTTAAGATGATTGCTGTAATTAATCATGCCCTAGCCCCTAGTTCAGACTCACCACATTCAGATTTCAATTAAAAAAAAAAAATCTGAATGTCTGCATACAAAATGCCCTTTGTTGCTGAAGCAGCCTCTTTTCAGTCTAAAGGAGGGAGTTTAGGAAAGAGGAAAGGTTTCCAGGGCCCTCTCTGCAATATTTGCACGTATGTGAGGGATTAAGGATGATCTAGGCTCCTAGATTGCTTGATCTCCCAACCAAAACAAATTACATTTTAAAATATATATGTTAAAGGCAATCATAATGGTTGGTATGATTATTCATTGCATAAATGTTAGTTTATTATTACTGTGTACTATTATAATTGTCATTACCATTAATTCTCAGTGCCTCTGAGTTCCCTTCTCTTAGGATCTTAAAAGATACTGTGGTTGTTGTCTCTATTAAAATGCAAACATTAGCAGGGGGTGGGGAAGAGAGTAGGTTTGTAAAAGGTGAGTGGGAAAGGAGTTTCTGCTTTTCACTGCATATATTCTGTGATTTTTGCAACATGCATACCCTGCCTTTGTAATTAGAAACTAATGGAGGAGACTGGATGGAAGGATCAGGAAAAGAGAATTTATAACTGGAACTGCTCCCTGCTAATCTCTTAGCATTCTTTTCTTTTCTTTCTTTTTTTTTTTGAAGATTTTCTTTATCTATTGAGAGAGAGCATGAGAGGGGAGAAGGTCAGAGGGAGAAGCAGACTCCCCGTGAAGCAGGGAGCCCTACAAGGGACTCGATCCTGGGACTCCAGGTTCATGACCTGAGCCAAAGGCAGTTGCCCAACCAACTGAGCCACCCAGATGCCCCTCTAAGCATTATTTTCACAAATCCTGGAAACAGCAGTGAAAACCAAATCTTATTCCCCCATTTGCCTGGAATTAGCTGGATGCCCCAAGCCCTTAGTTGGGCCCAGACCAAGGTGATCTCTGACTTGAGGACAGAAGCTCATAGAAGGCTTTTGAGAAGGAAAGTGAACAGTGAACATTGACCAGAAGAACCCGTTTGACTTATTCTGTCTGCTGGTAGAGACGGAAGCAGTGTCTAAGCCCCAGGTACTTTTCCAGAATTTGAATTTGGCTTGGAGAGGTTCTGCCATTCAGAGGTTGAGGAACAACCCGCCCCCCCCCAAATAAAATGTACAGGACTCAGCAAATGAGATTCTGATTCCACAGACGCTGTCCTAGCACGTATATTTTCTCAAGTATCCCCAGGTAATTTGCACTGTGACCATACAGACTGCTGCTTTAGAAATTACTTACTCCAAATACGGATTGAGGAAACTGAGGCCGAAGGCATGGAAGGGACTTGCCCAAGGCCACCCAGCAAATGAGCTG